TTTTATTATATTTTATTATTATTATTTCATTCAAAAATTATTATCATTCATTTACTTAGAATACCATGTTGTTCAAAATTTAAGATAACATTACCCAATCCATAAAATAAAAAGATTTTTAAATTTTCCACGTGTTGTGTGATTCAGTTGAAATTGTGACAACACTGCGGTGTGATAAAGATTGTCATTGATGATCGTCAACGCGTCGTGTCGCATTTTCCATTATAAACGCGTTTCTTTTTTTTTTTTTTCTTTTTCTTTTTAATTTTAAATTTTAATTTTAATTTTTTTTTTTTTTGTAATTTTATAAAAAAATAACAAATGGATAAAGCTACTTATGACGATTCTTTAAAGAATGATATTTTCAATATTTGTAATGCCTTGGGAGGTTTTGAAAGGATACAAAATAAAGACGGTAGTGAGAAACAGATCTATCGACCTGGAGATGAATGTTTAGCTTGTCTTAAAGATTTAAAAGAATATCTTCGACTAGAAGGGCAAGTCAAGATTGACGTACTACACTTACTTTACAGCTACGAGACTTTCAATACGGATTTAATACCTATTTTATTGAATTGTACAAACCTTGATAATAAACGTCAGAACCGACTGGCTTTGGCCTGCGTTGAATTGATGGTAATCATGACTTGGCCCGAAGATCCGAATGAACAGGCTCGAAAAATGTTGGAAAGAGAAGATGAAGAAGATGATAATAGTGATATCGGTGCTAACATTGATAAAAGGAAGGAAGAACACAATATTAAAAAGCGAAAGGAGAAATCTTTTTCTAAAATAAAGGAGCTCGTAACCGCTCGATCAAGGTATAAATTTTACGTTCTAAAAAAATCGATAGTCATGCGACAAATTTACCTCTTGCTGGAGAAATATCTGATTGTAGAATCAAAAGGGAGGTCTGAACGTGATAACAACATTATTCAACTTTTACTTAATTTTTGTCGGAATTTATTGGCGATTGATGATCCACCTAATTCTGAAAGTCTATCAAAGAACAAGAGAAGTCAGATTCATTATGATCTGATCTTAGAGTTTAAAGATGCTCAACTTATTGACCTTTTCCTTAAACTCTCGACGAATAAAGAAGAAGCTCTCGAATGGGATATTATACTCATTGATATTTTCTATCGGATCTTCTTTGGGGTCAACCCCGATAGTTTATTTATAAATATTAAGAAGGAAACAATGTGGAAAGCACAAAAGTTATTAGATGAGGAATTGTCCAAAAGGGAAAAACGTAATAATGTGAATCCACATTACAAAGGTTCGGTTTGGATTATAAATCCTGATGGCCCTGACCTTGTTGTGCACAAGCAGCAGGCGTTAAAGGGTGATGGTTTGCAAGCATTGGATGACGTAAAGAAAAAAAAGTACGAGAAAACAAAACCATTTGATGACTTTGACAAGTCAAGGAAGCATCGAATTCTCAATCCACAAGTACAGGATTGTTTAAAGTATATCGCGTTATACTTTCTTGAAAATGGATTTAAATTTTTGTTAAGGTCACTCAAAAAGGACTTGATCAATGGTGAATACGATGAGGTTCCGCAAACTATGGTGCATTATTCATACATCGTGTGTTATTTCCTTGAATTACGATTGTTATTGAAGTCCAAGGATATACGTGTTCCATCATCACGGACGGAATCGAACCCAAAGGATCTTCATGATTTCGAGATCGTCGCCAAAGTCATGGATGGGGATGGAATTCAATTGACGTTTAGAATGATAAGATTTTTGAGAGAGAGAAAGTTATGGTCTGAACTTCATTTTGTAGTCGAATATTTAAAACAAATTTTTTTGACCATCAAAATGTTGACAATCTCGAAAGACGTGTGTGAAAAGTGGGTCGCCGATGAATTGCAATTAGAGATTTATCGCGAATTGATGAATTTGGAAATAATAACCGAACTTGTAAGAGAATACAAACCTCATTCTCATTCCATTGGATACTTGCAGAGTGTAACCGCTGCAGCTCACGTTCTTTTACAATTGCTTGAGAATTATGCGAAATCAAATAAATATATGGATTGTAAGAAATCGCGACCTCGGAAAAGGAAGAATGAAAAGAGTCATACAACCGAAGACGATTTTGGTTCAAAAGTTGCCAACGACGAGCATGACGAGAGTAGCGAGAATGAACAAAATCAATATATTAATTATAAAGCCATATTCGAAAAGGTTGAAAATAAATTCGCGAATGAAACTATCGTTAAAAATTATGTCATGTTATTAGAAGAATATCAAGAAGTTGACTCCGAAACCATAAAACACATTACGATGATGTTCTTTCGGATTGCCAGACATTGTCACCTAGAGGCTATGTTCTTTAAGGTATTTTAAAATATTTTAATAAATTTTTTTTTCTTTTTAACGGATCGAATGTTTGATCATAGTTCCAATAGTTTTCCAATTTTTTTTTTTTAAAAAAAATTAATTTAGCTTTCGATTATGGAAATTTTTTATCGTATATTAAATGATTATTCAAGCACTAAAAAAAGGTTGACTTATCCTCAAAAAGATTTGAAAAATTTCATTGAATGGATAGTTAATAAGCTTATCATTCAATTTGGGAAAAATCCATTGATGTATGCTGAACTTTTATTCCCCAAAAACATCAATGATGTGAAATTACTACAAGGTGGATATGTATACGAAATAGAAACCAAAAAACAATCAGGTAAAATATAGGAAAAACAAATGAAATTTAGAATAATGATAGTTAATTTTCCAATTGGTGGGATTCTATTTTCACTTTGTAATTAAATTCGACTTGCTTTTTATGCTACTACTGAAACTGGTTTAAAGATCGGTCCAAAAATCGATCTTTAAGATCGCCTTCGGTCATTCCAGATGACATTCCAGATAACATTTCAGATGACATTCCAGATCTCATTCCAGATCACATTCCAGAACTCATTCCAGAACTCATTCCAGAATCGGATGGACCGGCGTCTAAGAATGCGGGTAAGTTATAATGGATTTTCATATTTATTTAATTCACGAGAACTAACAAGGTCTCTATCTTCGACAGATGAGCCTGTAGCTCAAACAATTGTCGATTAGTGATTTGATTTCATCGTATCCTGTGGTAGCAATTCGTTGAAGAAATATATCTAATATGGATATAATATTGTATTACATTTTTTCTCGTAATAATTATATGTTTTATAATCATCAATAAAAACAATTGATATAAATACAAATATTAAAATTTTTTGCCAAAATATGTAAATTTTTTGCATACCAAGATATTAAAGTTAAACTAAAAATTTAGCATCTATACAAATACAGTAACTGACATAGATTCAAATTCATATGCATTATGTAATTCATAAGCAATCTATAAATATCATCAGATAAAGTTATTTTAAAATTTTTTAGAATAAGTATAACTTCAGAAAACAGCTTATTATCAATTATTATATTATTAACATTGAAATAATAAATATTTAAAATCAATATAATTTATTGAATTCAAATTTGTCATAAATTGCTAAACTTTTTACAATTAATTAGAATTAAATCAAAATCAAACTTTTTTTTAACTTTGAGTTATCTGGTTAATTAAAAATCAGGTTAGATAATCGCTAATTTAGCATTATCATACATAATAATTTTAATTCAATATTATGTTTATTATTAGATAGAAACTTTATTGATAATAAAGTAAGTTAGTTTAAACTGATACAGATTTTCATTATTAAATCAATATAATTATTTATCTAATATTCTATTTATTCATTTAAAGAAATAGCATTAGAATAAATGAAATGGATCATAATTATAAAAAAAATTTATTATATAAAGTGATAAACAAATGTTTGATATAATAAACTTCAGATTATAATTTTCCTTAATTAAAATAATAATCTTCAAAAATCTGAAGTGAACTTTATCCAATAAAATTCCTATTTATCGCTTTATTAAAGAAATTATGAGATCTAATATATTTGCTAGATTTAAATAGCTATATAAACTACAATGATTAATATATAATAAGGTTACGAATTTTTAGTTATATATAATGCAAATATGTTAAAAAGACTTTATTATAAATATGATACCTGTTATCCTTTTTTTGACAATTATAAAGGGACTGATTCTATTGAGTTTGTTTTACTGTTTTACTTTATCTATACCGTCATAGGATCTGATAACCTTGCTCTAGCAACTTTATTAACTTTTATGCATTTCATTTTTAACAAATACAGTCCATTTGAAATGATAGATATTCTTTTCAAATAGAATTTGAAATAACTCATAATATTACCATTTAATACAGAAAAAACAATATCATTTTCATAGGTTACAATTTTGTTTGTTCCTCTCTCCTTCTAACTTTTAATACTCCTATTGATAAAATAGTTCATTTTAAATCCCATTGAATGAATTTTTAGTGCTATAGTGACCTTTTCTTTCATTCTACTGGAATATGATATTTTTAATCTAGGTTAGAAATAGATTCTGGAAAAATGCAGGATCAGCCTTAATTTAGTTTTTATTAGATAAAGATTTTTGTGTTATTGTTTATAGTACTATGTTTAATTTAATAAAGATTATGTGAAATTACCGCACTTAAAAAAAAAGGTCAGTTGTGTAACTAAAATAAGAAACTGTTTATGAAACTGTCTTTAGTACATTAAGTAGAAGTTTTTCAAATTAAATTTTGCATATAAATAATTTATTATTACAAATAAGACATGTAACAGGTTGTTACAAATACATTTGTTCTTATTTAAGTATGCTTTATAATCAATTCCTGCTATGTTTATAAAACAATGATTAAATTATAGTGAGATCCGTAGGATTATTTATGAAATGATATAAGATATAGAGACAAAAATTAATGAAATTAATAAAATTTAAATTATTAAACGTGTTTATTACGAATTTAGTGCGTCTATTCCAAAGGTAAAATAATACAAAGTTGATAAATTATGTTAAAATACAAAAATCGGATAATCGTAGACATTTTTTTTTTTTTAATAATCTATAAGTTTTAATGCTTTGCCAACTCTTTTCATTCCTTCTCTCTTCTCATCCAAACGATGCTCAAGTAATGCATCGATACCACCAGCATCGAAATAACCATATCCTGAAAGCATGCTAACTTTTTCATCATCAGATAAGATACGTGTTAAACCAGGATTTCGTCTTTCTGATAAAATTAAAAAGCGAACATCATTAAGGTAATTCTCAAGAGTTTGGAGGAAGCGACGCGTCTGTCTATGTTTAGAGCCAGCGCAAAACTAAAAAAGAAAAAAAAAAAAATGATGTTAAAATAATATTTATTTAGTTAAGATTAATAATTAATTATAACGTAATCTTACCGCAATCCCCTCATCCTTGATGATGTAACCTATACCAAAACCATCCGCAACAACGGGACCAAATCCGAATAACCTTAAAGCAGGATTACCACAATTACTTGTACTTAGTACGGTATGGTTTAGAGTTTGCCAACCCATATCTTTAAATATCGCTGGTAATTTTTCTTCGCAATTTGCGGCATTGCCAACCTCTCTTTGCCATACGCATTGCAAAGCATATAAATGTCTGTCTTGCCCAAGACCTTTTGCACACATTTTTGTCAAGTTTACATGAGCTTGAATAGCCTTACGTAAAGCCTTGAGTTTTTCCGAACCAGATGCATCAGTCCACCAAATCTTTAAAAATTCAACAGATTCTGTTGTAACCGGATGAACTGCTTCAGTTCGTCCATGAAGGAATGCTTTTGTCATCGCTGGCTCATAAACACATTCAATTGATCCGTAAAGGCCATAATATGCAGCTTGGAAAGCCATCTAAAAAAAAGAAATAAATAAATAAATAAAAATAGGAAACTAAAATAAAATTGTACATTTTTAAAAATTATTTTACCTGAACAAAACCATCCGGACTCATTTGACTGCTTGTGATAAAACTTTTTCCATATTTATCAAACTCGAGAACTTTAACTTCATTCTGCAATATAAGATCACTTAATCTTGATTCGGCGAATCTAATGCCGATATGAACTTCGGGCGTAAGAGTCCATTCAAGTTTCTTTGGAGTTGAGTCCAAAACTGATAAACCATTGCTATGTTTATTGCTATGAGGAGATGATGAATGAAACAGAGATTTTGTATGACTATTGATTGTTTGTGCAAACCGTAATATGGTATCAGTATAAATATCTGAGACAAAACGTAAAACAGTATGACCATCAACCCCTTATGAAAGAAAAAAAAAAAGAAAAAGGGAATGTAATTTTCTTAATATAAAAAAGATTTGTCAAAAACGTGAAAAAATTTATCATAAAGCTTTACCAGTATGTTCAAAATTTACACCGGCCGAACCATTCTCACAGACAATGATTTGTAATTTATCGTACCAACGATTGGCACAAGTTCCACATTGTACACCTTGTTGTATATCGTATGTTCCACAGAGCATATTTGTCGCAAGTTCGTCGCCAGTAGCGGGTGAAACTTCATCTAAACAAACTATAAACAAAGCTGAATCTAGAACTCTTAACGCATCCTTATTATTTTCTGACGACTTCTCTAATATATCTCTAAGATCTGCCCAAATTCTACGATTTTCGGTTGAAAGGATACCAACCGCATGTTTTGCAACGTCGACAATTGGGACACCAGAGGCATCCTTTTTAATCGTTTTGAGATTGGTCACAAGTTCTTTTTCGCTAATTCCAACATCATTATTCTCTTTCAATACGTCAAACCAATAAAATTGCCCACGACATAAAACCACAATATGCCTGGATTCATGATCAGTGTTCATTATGCATCCATTATCAGATGGTAAACGAGCTGTTCCAAACATTCGCTTAAATTGTGACATACAAAGGGGAGTTCCCCTAAACACATCGGGTTCAAGAGTTTCGTTTCTTAAAGCATGAATAAATTTTAAAGAAGAAAGAACTAAAGAGGCCGCACGAACTATTTGATTATTTTTCGCAGGCGTTGGATCATCCTCCAAGACAAAAAATGGGTTCAGGTTCAAAACAACCGGATCGGAATAGTTAAGGTAAGAGTCATACCAAAATTCTTCAATATAACTAGACTTATCAGTAGCATAAGTATTAAGCTTATCTTGAAGCTGAGGACCCTCCTTTTCGAGAAATTGTTCAACTGCTGCAATGGTCTGCAAATGGTCTTTTTCTCTCTAAATGAATAAGGGAACAAGAATTTATTTTAACAATAATTCCTTTCATTTGAAGAGTATTAAATTAAATTTTTTACCTGAAGAGGTTTGACAACAGCAAGATATCTTTTGAGAGTGTCTTCTAAGGGAGGTATTGGTAATTTTGGAAGTTGAGTTTGATATTGGAAAGTTTTCTTGGCGTGATTAATTGAATTTTCAACCATATTTTATTTTTATTTTTTTTATGAATTCCGTGAATTCCGTTGAAAATCGTATTCTATATAAGTATAATTTTTTTTAATTTATGATTTGATTTGTTATTTGTATTAGCTAAGATCAGGATGATGACGATCAATTCATGTCATACATGCTATAAACTTTAACACACGATCATCAGAGGAGTACATTTATTGAAACTCTATTCTAAATCTCCAATTCTGTTAATAAAAAAATTAAGATGAGATAAGTCAACGTTTCCCAATAAGGAAATAAATTACGGGATTAATCAGCGTTTTTTCTTACAATGGGATTCAGTAAGTTCTTCAATAGATTATCAAATGAAATTCAACACAATAGACACAAAAGGGATATTCGTAAGACGGCAATTTTTCTTTACGATAAAGGTATTCAATCTCTTTGACAATTTTTCATAATGGTCTTTTTTAGTTTTATTTTATTTTTTTTTTTTTCAAGGTTTCGATTTCGTATATTTCATATTGAAAATCATATTATAAAGAAAGAGTACATATAATATGTATGTGAGTATCTAAAATGTGTTACAATATTTAGTTCAGTTTTGGTAAGAAAATAAATAACATAAAGAATCCATCTGAAACTCGGGGATCTCTTTTTTTTCATTGTATTACATCCATTTCATGTTTTTAATTTAGATTTAAAATAGTTGATCATGTATATATTATTTTTATTTAATTTCTGATTAAAATGTTGCAGATCCTTTGTGGGTTATTCAATACAATATATATATATATATATAAATTGTTCCCGACATTTTAATCAAAAAAACATGGATAAACATAATGCAACAGGTAATACATTAGAAAAGCGGAACCTTTATTTACACTATTTTAAATTCTTTTTAAAATCGGATCCATTAGAAGTTAAATTTTAAAAAAAAATTGTTAAAAAGCATGAATAAACTTTATAGAGATGTTTAAAGATCCTCATCCATGGCATCGCTGCCAGGATCCGATAAGTCAGTTCCGGCTTCAGAACCGAAAACTTCCCTGAATTCAGGTGATTCATAATCTGCCCGAGAAAAAATGGAATTAGCCGTTGCAGCCGAACCAACAGAAACGACAGACGTTGTCCGACTCATTCGAGCCCCATTTGAGACAGAGCTAAGATCTGCCGAGATTTTACTCTTTTTACTCGACTTTGTCGAGCTGGATGACCTCGCATCAGAATCATGATCCTGTGTGACTTCTTCGTAATTTCTTTTTTCAGTCCCTCGAGCAGTCCGTGACCGTGTTGCGTAATGACCGGTTGTTGGCGTTGCTTCGTCTTGGAGAATAAATGAACCTTGTCTTGATATACTGGTGCCGGAAGATGCCGAAGATTCGGCATAATTCACTCGAGCAGCTCGACGTGTGCCACTTCTTGTGCGACTGGCAACTATCTCCGAGTTTGCATGTAGTAGTGCAACTCGTTGTGCTAACTTTTCTTGACGTACTTTTCGCGCATCGCGCTTTTCTTTAAGCTATTAAAATAAATTAAGTGTATATTTATCAAAGTTCAAAAGATTTGTTCATCTTTGATTGTCGATTCTTACCTGAATTTCTTTTTTGATTTCAGGCAGCAATTCGTCGACCAGCCTTTTATAAAGGACCTTATCGAGTTTTGCAGTTGGCTTAATCTCTTTTGGATTATTAATGTAGTTTTCTACGTCTTCAACGGTTGTCGTTATTGCCTCCCAGGTTATTTTGGTTTGCTTATTTTTACCTTTACCCTTTGTAATCGTCTCTCGATAAATTCTTGCGCCATCTGCATAAAGAGAAACGAAAGAAAAATGGATTAATTTTTATAACTTTTTGATTTTGGATTTATAAAATTTTTACTTACAGCCAAAATAATAATATCTTCTTCCTCTTCGATCGACACCATATGGTTTCACTTCTAGAGAATTCTCTTCGTTTTTTTTTCCATTTCTGTATTCAGAATCAATCATCTTACGGATTGTAAGACTATCCTGGAGTTGCCATGTGATAAGTTTATTCAAAATTAACACCTGTAATAAATTTTTTTTTTTAATTTGGCCTAGACTATATCGTTTTAAACACAAGTGATGTACAGAAAAATGAAATAAATAAGCACTTTATCTTCAACATTAAGTTCATAATAGTTTTTAACTCTGCGAAGCGGGTTGAAATCTTGATAAAAATGATATCCTTTTTTAATTTTTTGATCGATCGCTTCCGAAAGGAATTTTTGCCATTGTGTCCTTCTTTACGAATATATATAAAAAAAGATTTATATCAAAAAAATAATTTAATAATATATTCAAGAATTTTGTTTACTTTTTTTTTTTAAAAAAAAAAAAGGATATATGCTTACTCGATTGGTTTCTTGCGATTAAGACAATTATTAAGGAAAGTACAATGTAAATTCTCGATCAGGTCATTCTCACATTCGGTTGCTATAGCTCGTTCTAACTCCTGAACAAAGTGAATTACAAAATATATTCTTATTATTATAATCGGAACCTCAAGGAGATTTCGCTGATCTTACCTCTGGCCAGAATTCAATTCCTTTCAAATAAGGCTTAAATTTATCACAAAAAGCGACGATAAAACATATTTCTTTCATAGAACGGACTTTAATTTCGTTTTCCGTGGTTGTGTTGGTTTCAACGGACGTTGTAGACATTGGATATGGCCGTGCGTGAAGAAGTATAAAGGTGATAGTAAATAACCTTATGAAAGTTACAGTATATCTTTGACGAAAAGTTTACGTGAAAAATGAGTGTCTGTTGGGAAAATAATTGTCGGAACGATAGTGCTGGTTAAAATTTGATAAAGACCTAGAAGTTCGCGCACATATTTTGCTTGTTCGGTCTAATATGATTTCAATTTATAGATATATCACTTACTTGTAAGGTTCAAAATTTTCTCAAAGATTAAATGTAAGATATATTTTACAAACAATTCGAATAAAGTGAATAAATGTTTTGGTATGATTATGCGAGTAACTATAGTTTTGTTAAAATAGTTCGAGAGATGGATCGTAGACAAATATATAGTAAGTCAATCGTTTGTTACCACCAACAGGGTTAGGCCCCGAATATCTAAATATGGAAATATCACATTAAATTTATTGTAACATCCTTTTTTTTTTTTTTACAAAAAAAAAAAAAATATGCCAGAACGTAAAAAGCAGCGAATTTTGATCAACAATGATTTTTTTTGGATCCCTATGTTGACAAGTTGTATTAGCAACTTTTATTAATTTGATACTATACTGTACATTAAAAAAAAAATAATAATAATAATAAAATGTTATAAATAATTCTAGAAACATAATAAAGAGCTGTGTTAAACAAATTTATCGGATTGATATTAAACTTTTCCATATTAGGTCAATATTCAATGCATGAAGAAAATAAATATATGACAACGCATTTATTATAAATCAAATAGAATATTATTACATTATAATCTAAAGATAATAAATTACATTCTTAATTTTGGATCAAGATTTTCTTGACCCCATCGAGTGGTAACCTTACGTCTCCAAGTGAAAAACTCGACACCTCCATCTCCAGTAATATCAACAAAATTTCCAAATTTGGATCGATTTATTCCCCCGAAAGAAAATGGTTCCCTATCATATATAATTAATTAATATATGATTGAAATAATTAAAATTCCTAATAAAGTAAACTTACCTAGGAACAGGCACCCCAATATTAACTCCACACATTGCGGCACCGAATCGCGAAATAAACCATTCGGCCGTGGCACCAGTTGTTGTATAAATGCATGCAGCATTACCATATGGATTATTATTTTCAATCTCAATGGCTTCTTCCTTATTAGCACATTGGTAAATGCTTAAAACGGGACCAAAGATTTCATCATGTAAAGCCTTGTCTTCTTTATTACTATGCAATATAACAGTTGGCCCGATCCAAAAGCCTTCGGCGTGACTTTGGGTCCATGGACGACCATCAACAAGAATCTTTGCACCACCCCGTTCAGATGCTTCAATGTAACTAGTAATTTTATCAAGCGAAGCTCTATCTATAACTGGGCCAACTTCTCCAGATTTTGATCCTGACTGTAATGCAGTTGCTTTGACGATAATACGTTCTAGCAGTTCAGGTTGTGATCCAATAATTAAGAGCACTGAAGCTGCCATACACCTCTGACCTTTTTATGAAAGGGATGCTTAGATTTTGGAATGAATTGTCTTATGAATAAATATAGTATATCATGTTCTTATAATAATTACCGGCACAGCCAGAGAATGAGTTTACCACATCGGTTGAAGTTGTTTCAATATTACAGTCGGGTGAAGCAATCAGATGATTCTGTAAAAAATTGTATATCGTCAGCGTTCTTTTTTTTTTTTAAAATAATAATTTTACTTGATCTTCGCGGTCAATTTACCTTGGCCCCACCTAATGCAAGAACTCTTTTTTCTAACTTTTGACACCTCTCCGTAACAAGATTAGCCACGTGTGAGGTTCCCACAAATGTGACTGCCTTGATATCGGGATGATCACAAATTGCATTTACAGCTAATGTAAAGGTTATGATTCAATCATAAATAAATTAACAGCATGATTAATTATAAATCTAATAAATTCTTCTTACCATCAACGGTGCCATTAACAAGATTAACAACACCATCTGGTATACCCGCCTCCTTTAAGAGTGCAATGACACGATTCATGGTTAATGGAACTTTTTCAGAAGGTTTTAAAATCAAAGTATTTCCGGTAGCGATAGCAATTGGTAAAGACCACATAGGAACCTACAATAAAAAATGGATAAATAATCTATAAATTCTTACAAAATATATTTGTATATCAAATTATTACCATGATCGGAAAGTTGAAGGGCACAATAGATGCAACAACACCTAAAGGCACGCGAGTATCATTGCAAGTTACTCCTCTTGAAACGTCCAATATTTTACCTTGAATCTAAAAAGGCGAAATAATTAGAGATCTCATAAATTTTGCAAAAAAAATTCTAAATATATATTGTATTTACCAATTGAGGAAGTGACATAGCATATTCTACAGTTTCGGCTCCTTTAGCGATGCTTGCCATTGCCTTTGAAAATGAATAATTTCAGTAATCAAAATCCATTATTATAATATTATTCCTATAATTGAGGTAAAAATATATACTTCGGCCTTGTTTTTTCCATGTTCTAACACAATTAAATCGGCTAATTCGTCAATATGTGTGTATAATAAATTATGGAAACGGATTAAAAATTGAACACGGTCTTTGACTGTTCGAGCACTATTAATCATAAACCAATAAATTATTCAAAAGTTTATATATATAAACCGTTAAAATTAAATTTTACCCCCAGGTTTTGAAGGCCTCCTTAGCAGACTCGACGGCCTTGTCAATATCTTCAGCAGTTGAGAGTGGACATTGCGCGATCACTTTACCAGTATGTGGAGTAGTGACAGGGATGTACTTGCATGAAGCAGCTTGAATAGGGTCTACATATTTTCCAAAGATAAAGTTTTGCAAAGTACGTGGAGATTCACCATTAGAAGCCGCCATGTTTTAATTTTATTGAAATTTTGGATTACAGGAATTTTTTTTCTTTATTTATTTAATTAAGAACCTATATTTGGTAATTATATATTGAATTTTTCCTAATTGGATTATATGTTTTTTTAAAAAATAAGGGCCAGAAAAACTTCTAATAAAGGTTACTTCTAAAAATTAAAAAATCATATGATCGCGAACCACATGATTTTACTAATTATGATATTTGCGAATTATAACATTTAGGAGTAACCAATTTCCTCCTGCTTCACATTAACAGAAAGATAAGTTATCCAAAAAATTTGCTTCTTTTATCCAAGAATTCCGTTGATCTCGCTTTTTATACATTGTGATGATTTGAACAATACAAATTTTTTTATCAGAATAAATGATTAAATATCTACCCAAAATCAAAGGATGAATATTAGATACATTTTCGTTAATAATATTATGTACTATAAAAAAAGATGATAAATTAGATTTATTTATAAATATAAGAAAAAAACTTAAAATACCTTTGATTTCAGCAGCTATTGGAATTATTGCAAGTCTTTTTTCTATCTTTTTACCAAATTTTTCGCTGATTTATATGATTATTTTGAATGTTAAAGATATTTATCTTTTTAGTAATTGACCAATTAGTATCATTAGAATTAGGCAGATTTGTTTCAGAAAGTGTTTACATATTGGAATTATTTTTTTTTAGATATTAATAAAAATATGAAAGTTCAAAAAGATTCATCTAATAAGAGCTATGAAACTACAAATACAGTTTTCCCAATTTCTAATCCATTTTATAATTCATTTTGTTCATTTTATTCTAAATAATTTAAAAATAAGAAACAGAAATTAAATAAAAGACTAATAAATAATTATATATTTACCAGTTAAATTTTGATATTAATCATCATCATTGTTATAATTATTTCTAAAGTATTAGGACTATTTGAAGAATTTTCAAAATAGGTAATTATTATTATATAGAAGATTTCATTTGATTATCAATTTAGAAATAATCTGCTAATTCTATTGCTTTACTATATCTATTACAAATTGCTTCTTTGAAGTCATCTTCAGATTGTTAAATACATAAATGTTTAATAATTTTATGAGAAAGAAAATACCATTAATATCAAATACTAATGCTCTGAACAGTTCAGTTCAGTCTGGATTATAGGTCAATCTGAAACTGAACTAAAAATTTTGATTCAGTTCAATTCGGATTAAAAATCTTAAAAATGCCAATCTGAAACTGAACCGTAAACCGGTAAAAATCTGAACTGAACTGAAAATTTCAGATTAATCTGAAATTTCAGATCGTTTGAAACAATAATTTCATCATTCTAATCGAACGATTCTTTTATCATTCGTTTAGAATAATATTTTAATCGTTTCAATCGAACGATTCTTTTATCGTTCATTTGGAACGATAATTTCATTATTCTAATCAAACGATAATTTTATCGTTCGTTTGAAATGATAATTTGATTGTTTCAAATGATCTAAAATTTTGGATTAATCCAAAATTTTTGGTTCAGTTCAGATTTTTTTCAGTTCAGATTAAATTTATAATCCGAAAAAAATCTGAACTGAACCAAAAATTTTCAGATTGAATTTTTTGCAATCTGAAACTGAACTGAAGTTGATCTGAACTAAAGATGACACCTCAATTAGTTGCAACAGGTGACAAATAAGCATCACAATGTTGTAACAAATTGCAATATTATTAAAATTTAAGTTGCAACAGGTGACAAATAAGTGTCACAATGTTGTAACGCCATCTTTAATCTGAATTGAAAATTTTCAGATTAATCTGAACTGTTTAAAGCTTTATCAAATACATAACCTGTAATTATAATAACATTATTTTTAAATATTCTTTCAAATACAAAAAAATATAAGTTTTATTTAATATTTTATCTCATTAATATTCAATCTTTTGTTATATTATTAATCTAGCATATGTAATTTTATTTTGATATATAACACGTTTTTGGATTTTATAAAATTCATAAAAGTTAAAATCAACTATTACTTGATATGATATATCAAAAATATGCTTAAACACTTTAATATTATATTTCTATAAAATAAAGAATGATTAGGATAAAATCTTGATGAATTTTAATA